ATTTATTTATATAGCACATTGTGTACAGACCCTCTGTGTCTCATCCTCTACCTTAAATTAGCAGATGAAATGGAAATGAATGTCCCACTTCATGTCTACTTATGAGTGAAGTCCACTGTTGTTACAATCATGGTCTCACTCCAATAAGAGCCCTGTCACACATAACAGGTGGCTCTGGTAGCCTCATTCATAGGGAATTGTGCTTAAAACTCAAGGTGGTGCCTCTCTGGAGGTTCAAATCCACCAGTTGCTCCCAGGAAGAAAGGTGGGCAATCTCCTCCCATGTGATTTACAGCCTCTGAAAATCCACTAGAGGGTTCACACTTGAAGGCAATGAATATTGTAGTAGTGGATTATATATGATTACCTGGCTGGTCTGTGTCTGTGTCTGTCTGTCTGTCTCTGTGTGTGTGTGTGTTTGTGTGTGTAGTGACACTAACAGTGTTCAGTGATATTTTTGCCCTCTCAGAGAAAAGGCACACTGGAGAAACTATATACCTAATCAAGTCTTGTCCACCAATGATCTGCCTGCATGGAGACAAGCAGGGAATTTTACCTAGGGGACATTCACTGCTCAGTGGATCACTGACAAATACTCCTAAATTGCCCTCCTGACAGCCACAAACCAAGGTTCCCTCAGTGAGTCAGGTGGGCATTTGGAGAAGTGGGACTGCACAGCACATCAACATTGCCTTGAAGTTCATGGTTTATAGTTCCTCAGCCTTCCAGATGAGGGCGCTCCTTACACCATGGAGGAGACCTTCAATGCAGACAGAGCAACACAGGCTGCTAAAGTGTCAGGATTTAACAGTCTGGTTAAGACAGGTAAGAGGCTTTCTCTCTCTCTTTTATTCTTTTGGCTTGAACTGTTTGCATAATCGCTTGAATTGTTTGCATAATTATTTGGGCAAAAGGATGGCGCTGTATGCACAGTTATAGATCATAATGCATTTAACTTATACTTGCAATGTGCTATCTAGGGGCAAAATAGGGAAAAAAAAGCCCCACACAAAATCATAACACACCTCTTTTCATAAATGGAGATGCATATGTGATCTCTAGATCCAGGAAAGAAATGTCCATTTTGTTTCATGGCAAAAAACAAAGAGGCAACACTTAGGCAATTCGATTCTAAAGGTTAATGGCTCATTCATGGAGGAAAAGATTTAGTAATAAATTGTAGCGTTGTCTCTACTCTCTCAGCGGCTCTCGCAGGCAAGCGACCCTTGTCCAACAGAGGTCAGAGCCTTATACTTCAGAGTCTCCAGACAGCAACAGCCATGTGGTTTAAACATACATGAAATGGGGTCATTTTCCTTAGAATTTATTCTGAGTCAAAGCTTCCTCATTACCTCCATTACCTTCACCTGCATATATCAACAGCATACAAAAGAATGCCAAAGAACTAAGCCATGCTTCGTGATCTCTAAGCTCTCGGGCAGCTGGAGCCTTTTAGGTACCTGGCACTTGCTCACTGTCTCTTTGGGATAGTCAAATTCATGAACATGGACAAGTCTACAGTGGAGCCAAGAGTGCGACCCCATTACTGGGGTCAGAGAATGTGATTTCATGAAATGATGGGTTACACACCCAAGGTGTCAATTCCAGCGTCAGAAAGTAACAGATTGTCCACTATGCCGACTCCTGATTACTGTTGCATCTTTTTCCCCCCCTTGGAGCAAAAATGCTTCCAGGATGTGACTCTCCTGTCATGGTGGAGGACATGCCTCTGCATACCAGCAGTGACAGGAGAAAAATGCACTAGCAGGGTGGGACTGCCCATGTCCTCACCCAATGCCTCTGGCCATGGGCTCACTCGGGGTAGGAATGTAGCTCACTGAGCGGCTGATTTTATTCACCTAAGTCCACACAACCTGTGTGACTTCCAAGGACTGGAGGTGAGTACTCTGAGAAGGCCCTTCCTAAAGCTTGTCTTCCTAGTGGATTCCTCTCAGCAGTGGTGAAAGGTGGCATCTCCTCCCACCCATGTCCATGTGCAGGCTGGGACTAGGAACAGCAGGATATTCCCTGGGCTGAACCCTCTCTACAGCAATTCTTGGAAGGACAGAGGGTTCAGGGAAAGGCACTATTACTACTATTACTACTAATGTATCTTCAGTGAGGATGTGATGTTCCCACAAGTTCTCATGCTGTGTCACCTCCGACTCTGCCAGAATTCTTGAAAAAAAGGCATCCTCAACTCTACAACTCTTCCATGGAGCTCCTTATCTAAAGAAAATTTGCTTTTAAATTCCTTGAACAGTAATTTTATCACACTATTGAGAAAACTGACTTTTCATACCACTAGCAATGCCAGCCACTGTATTGTTTTCATGATCTACTTAGAATGGACAGCTGACTGTACCCTTTTCAAAGGGCTTCTTTCCAGTCATGCTTAACGATCCATTTTCATACTATGAGAAAAAAATCCCCACAACAAGGGAGTAGAGGTCCTCTTTTTTTTAAATTAAAAAATATTAAGCGTTGGCTTTTAAAACATAGCATCTGCTACAAAACCCCTTACCTTTTATAAGAGCTGGGCTGGGAATGAGTAGAAAAGCAGTATAGTTTTGGAGCCTGAGACCCAGATAGTCTAATTTAGCATTCAAACTTCAGAGGCCTCATCTGGCCTTTGCCTTTTTGCAGCTAGGCCTGGTCAGTTACTGACAAAAACCAGGAGAGGCACAGAGGACAGACTGCCAGCCCTGAGCAGACAGCCCTCACTCCTGCATGACAACCCCATACCCTCTCTGAGGGTTCCTTCCGAAGCCAGTTCTCTCAGGAACCAACTCTGCTGAGACAGTGGATTTAGCACTTGCTCAAAACCTCCCAACGCCTCCACTTAGCTGCTTGGATTTTGCTGCGGCTGCAATATTCCTGAATAAATTTTAAAGAGATAATCTTCCCTGGGTGCCTTTCAGGAACTAGGAGCATTTTTATTAAAGAGTGTGCAGCTTCCTGAATACCTTTTCTTTGGAGTTTCTCTGTATAACACGTTCCTCCACTATTCTCTGCGCTCAGTCTGGGAGGAAAGAGCCAAGCTTCAGTGAAAATGAACTTGGGGTCATCTCTGCAGACAGAGGAGGGAGGACCACAGAGCTGCTCCCTGAAACAGAAGTTGGCTGCTCACCTGTGGCCCCTGTTTCCAGCCCACACCATGGGGGGTTCTTTTGGTGGGAACTTCTCAGTTTTTTTCAAGCCCTGCAATAATGTGACTAGGGCAGCTGCCCAGCCTTTGCCAAACATGGAAATGCAGATAACAAGTAAGTGGGGCAAAAGAAAGGAGCTGGCTGGAAGCGAGGGCTTATCTCCTCCACAGCTGCCTTCAAGATGTCTCTATGACAGGTCAGGCCAGCCCTTCATGACTGCAGGGGCTGCGTGGGGCTCTTAAATGAGTCCGTGAACTGACCACCGTCTACAGACCTGACAGGAAGAAATGGAAGGAGCAATGGGCTCCATTATTTTATCTCCTAAAAAAGCAACCGCGGAAAATCCTTGTAATCTTTTTTCTTTTGAAGGGACTTTTAGTTGAGGCTGTGGTACACTTCTCTGGAACCCTGGTTAATGGGTCTAGAGCTGGCTACTCAGGGCCTGTCTGCAGATTCCCACCATGCTTGGCTTGGCCAATAGCCTCTTTGCAACGAGGATCATTGTCACACACAAAAAGTCATGAATAAAATGCAATTTCAAAAAAGACACAGGAGGTGCATGCTCTAAAAGAGGAAGAGTGTTAGGCTCTCGGAGTCACCTACAGACATTAACAAGAGCAAAACTACACTAAGGTCAGTGTGGTTAGGCCCCGGACAGCATTATCTACTTCAGCCGCTAGGGGGCAGAGAAGGGACCGGAACTAAATTAAGAACTAGGACTAGCGGATGTTAACACTATGGGAACAGGCAATGAGGTAGAAGAGGCACTTACGTGGAGGGCTATCTGCATTTCCCATGGATGGAACACAGACGAAAAGAAAAAGACAAGAGACAGACCCAAGAGAAAAAAATAAGGCGTAAAAGAAATGAACAGACGCTGCAGAGCACTTGGAGCTGGAAACTCAAAATTATCAAATTATTGCAAATCCAGAAAGAAGCAAATCCTGTAGAATGAAGCTGAGGCAGGCTTCTTCCTTCTAGGACGAGGTATGGGTCACTTTACACAGGGCCCTGACTCCAAAGAGAGGGAAGCAAAGGATTCCCCTGGGTGTGTTGTAATTCCAGGAGTTGGAGAGTCCAGGAAACTGTGACCAGCCAATGAGTGATGGCCTTTAGCTGGAGGGACCTTGGTGCCTCCCAGGGATGTGACTACATCCTGGCTGTTTGCAAGGGAAGAGCACAGCACGGCAGGCCACACTGAAGGAAGGAGGGAATGAAGGAGGAGACAGAGGCAGCTCTGAATGGAATCAGGAAGAAGTGACTGCCTTCGGGGCTGTGTGGAAGGGAGACACCCCTGTGCTCCTGGTGTGGTGAAGAGAAGTCAAAGCCACAGCCATGCTGTCTTTCCCACTGTTGTTTCTGCTCCTGCTCACCGATGCTACAGCAGTCTCTGTTTTCCCAGAATTAATAAATCTGCTGTATCAAAAAATCCCACAACTAATTATATGCCTGCTACTGTCCTCACTCACTTTCTTCAAGTCATGGGGTGTCTAGGGCCTTTGTGACTGTGTCGAAAAGTGCATTTCCCAAATCCCTCCACAACACGCTGCTGGTCTCTCCCCATTTCTTTTCATAACATGTCACACTGGCTTTCCTCCATGGCCGTTACTCTAACAGACTGGACCAGCTACAATGACAGTGTCACCAACCCCACAGAGAGACAGAGGACAAAGGGATTTGGCATCAGCGGCCATTGAGAGCCAGAGAGCTAGGATGTGCGGCCGCCACGAGCAGGGGATCTGAAATAAAAAAAGCTGTCCTGTGAGCTGTGAGTTTGAGTCAGCCTAGGACCTCCACCACCCCAGGAGGAGAGGGTGGGCGTGGGGACACGGGGACACCGGCTGTACTTACGGACTGGCTGCGTCTTGAACTCGGAGGCTGCACTGATCTCACCCAGCCCCTTGCCGTTGAGGGCTGCCAACCGCACGGCATATGTGGTCTCCGGCTTCAGACCCATGATGGTGACGATGCCTTCCAGGTTGGCTGTGGTGGGAACATGGGGGAAGGTCACAAAGGGGTGGAAAGCCTAGTGGACAGGCTGGAACATGGAATCGCCTTGCCTTTGTTAAGTTGGAACAAGATTTCAGTTAGGAAGGTGAGCGAGCTGTTTGTCTTCTATCTCTGACCTCCTACTCTCTAGCCCCTCTGTGCCCAGAAGTTGAAGGACTGGTAGAACTTTCTGGAGGAGCTCAGTAAAACTGGGCTGGATGATAGCTCTGAATGGCTGTGACACTGATGTCCTAACATGATTCCTATTCCACCTATCAGACAAAGCTTAAACAATTCTACAGAAACTCACTGAATTATACTAGTGAAACAACCCCCAAAGCAGGTGATGTTGAGTCAGTTTCAACTCCTGGCAACATGTGTCAGAGCAGCGCTGTGCTCCGTGGGGCATTCAAAGGCTCGGTTTTCAGAAGTAGGTCACCAGGCCTTTCTTTCTAGGAACCTCTGGGTGGAACATCCAACTTTTCATTTAACAGCCAAACACATGCACCATGTGCATCATCACTCAGGGATATAAAACTCCAAAGGGGGAGGTAAATGAATATAATTCCTGGGGAAAGGTAGTCTGGCTAACAACCTTCAAATGAGACTAATTCAAGTTTGTTTTTCTCCCCCTTAACCTTGGATTTGGAAATCTGTCATCAGGTTCACTTAAGAGCAGATTTACGCTCTGCTGCAGGGTGCGGATGGAGAATGGGTTATGCAATATGCAGAGGAGGAGGTGAATTGAAGGCATCTGGCCATGCTCAGTACCCAAATGGGACTTCTCTGTGTGGCTGCCTCCGGCTGGCTCTGGCAGGGACAAGAGATTACATTTTGAAGCATTAGGGGACAGAAGCCTAATTCTACATGCAGATGTGACCGCAGCCTAAGTCTGGAGGGATGAAGGGTTATTTCCAGTGGTGACACCAGGCTTCCTTCAGTAGGTGACAGTGGTGAGTGCCACCCTCCTGACAGACAGCTAGAATCTGGTGAACGCTGAGGATGGATGTGTCCCTACACTGACAAGAGAGGCAGGCTGCCTGTTCCCAACTTACCTTCTTTGGCATCATACCACTTGGAATGCCACGCTTCCTCGCCCATCGCTCTCCACTCTGCCTTGTATTTGAGGATGGGCACCCCACCTGTGGCCTCCGGCTCATCAAACTGCACCTGGGCTGTGCTAGAGTACGGCTCCACCTGGTCGATGGATGGTGAGGATGGGGTGTCTGTGGGAAGGACACATACGGAGACCCAGCTGAGTCCTATTTGTCCTCCAGTACCAACACATCCAACTGCTAAGCATGTTTTCCTCATCCCTGCTCACTCTGGAGAATCCTGTCCCCTGAGATTCTCTTTCAACAAGCCCTCTGGTGGACCCCTAAAGGCTTCCCACAGTGCTGGCCTCACCACAGCATGTGTGATGGGCTGGTGAGAGAGAGGTAGTAAGGCAGTCACTTTTAGGGGTGCTCACCTGCTTGAACAAGGATGAATTCCAAGGACTCCTGTCCTATCCGGTTCACGGCAGTGCAGTTGTAGTTTCCAAAATCATTCTCAGAGTCTGGGGTCACCTTTAGGAAGAAGGAGACATATGTCCCACGAGATGGCCCAAGAATCAGAACCTTGTGTATGGGTTTAAAGCAGTAAGAACAACCAGTTGCCCCATTGTGAGGTACACGGTTCTCAAAGGCTGGTTTTCCAAAATTAGCTCATTTTTAGAAGGGCCACTCTCGTGACACTAGGTTGGGTCCCAACCTCCAATCTTTTATTTAGTAACTAGTTAACCTTTAGTGCTACCCATGGACTGAATTACATTTAATACATGCACTCTGTACTTCAACCTGGGGAGCTCTGGTGGCCTAGTGCTAAGAAGTTGCATTGCAATCCCAAACGCAAGCGGTTCGAATCCACCAGCTGCTCTGCCGGAGAAGGATGAACAATCTCTTCCCATGCGAAAACTCATGTCTCTGAAAACCCATTGGAGGGTCAGCAATAGGTAGTTTCCAAGTTGATGGCACACAACAACACAACTGGAGTTTCATCGCCTTACACAGGACAGCAAAACAGAAAAGGGGCCCATGGACCTAGTCCAAAGTAGAGAATCAGAGCAAAAATGAAAGGTGACCTAAGATGAGGTTCAGTTTCTTGTTCCACTGGTGGGTCCCCAGCGTGTACTGGGTCAAGAGGGGGCAAAGGTTCTGTTTGAGCCCATCCACTGTCCCACTGCATTCTCTCTGCCTGCCCGCCCTCACGCTTACCTCCAGATAGCTGGCGGAAGGCGTGTTGTAGATCTTGATATTGCTGTAGTTAGAGCTCGGCAGCAGCTGACCATCTCGGAACCATGAGATTGTGGCGCTGGGATAGGCAAACACCTCGCAGGTGATGTTCACCTGGTTCCCCTCCCAGGTGTACACAGCCACAGGGCCCTGCAGCTTGGGGGCATCTGCAGTGAGGGAAGATGACTCTCAGGGTGACCCACACACACATGGAGGCTCCCATAAACTATCTCTGCACTGGGAAGGTGGTGTGTGTGTCCCAAAGCAGACAGAAGAGGAGGGAACTCTAGTAGTTTCATGGTAAGGAATTAGGCTGCCAATCCAGAGTACTAGGTTCAAATCCACCAGCTGCTCTGTGAGAGAAAGATCCTCCCATGATTTCTTGCATCTGAAAACCCTCTGGAGGGTCAGCTCAGAATTGGTTCCAACTTGATTGTACACAAAACAACAACAGATGGAGGGGAGAATCATTATTCTTTTCTGAAGCACACAAGCTGCAAGGCCAGGTGGGCTTGCGAGTACGTGAAGGCAGGTGTGAGTGTGGGCTTGAGGACACGAGCTAGAGGACGTTCAGGGGATGTGGCCAGAGCTCATGGGGTGCAGGGTCTGAGCGATGTCCTCCTCTCATTCAGATCATGCACTGGCCTCCCACCCCACCTTCCTCTCCTGGCTGCCCCCAGTGACTTCTCACATTGCACTTCGAGGTACATGGACTGGGAGTCCTGGCCGATGGTGTTGCTGGCGGTGCAGATATACTCTCCTGCGTCTGTGTACTGGATGCTCTTCAGGGTCAGGGAGGACACGCGGGCATGGCTGCGCACCACCATGTGCCCGTCCAAGGTCTGCCGGGAGGGAAGGGGACACGTCAGGGCCGGAGCACAGTGACAGGCGGCAGCGGCTCAGGGCAGGGCGGGGCTGATTGTGACCAGTCTCACATTTCACATCCTCTCTCTCTCTGTGCCAACACCTAATGCTGACTAGGTACCACTTGACTGGGGCAGTTCTGAGGTGTGCCATGCGAACTTGGGTGCATCCAACATGGGGACTCTACTTTGTGTCTGCCAAACGGTCTAGACTATGTGTCAGGTTGAGCTGGGGTGAGGAGACCCAAAGTCCCCAGGACCACTCTGTCTTGCCATATTGATGACTCTGTCTGGGTATTGAGTATGGAAGCTGAAGCCCCACTCACACACTCTCTCAAGTGTGTGTAGCAATGCAGCTCGGGGCAGCAGGTCAGCAGTAGACTTCCCTGGTGAAGTTCGGTGAACCTGTACTCTTCATCCCTTCTTTCCAACAGTCTGCCCACCTGCCAGAGCCATGGTGCATGCACAGGTAATGGAAAATGTGAATGCTATCAAATGCGAAACATTACGTAAGAAATTCCTATTTATGTAGATGCCTCTACTGCTGGCATACTTGAAAGTAAAATGATTCCTCTCAAAAACACCAGACAATTCACTGTTGATCTGGGGATAAGAATAAAATGGTCTTTCCCTCAAGAACAGCAATACAAAGAGTTCCACACAGATTTGGGATCCTTGACACCAGCCAGAGTCAACACCATTATTCAGCCCTTGTTCCTACAAATGACTTCCCAAGACTCTGGAATGACAGTGATTGGTGAAAAAGATATTAAGAGTAAGATCCCTGGGCAAGGAACACGTGGGCTGTTTCCACAGATTTCCTCCCTTGACAATTTAAGTAAAAGGTCTATTGACCTAGGAAGAGTCTGGGATTATGGCCTAAATTCAGATCCAAGACAAGTGGTAATCTGGAGTGCTGCTCCTTGTGGGCTGGGCCCTCTTCTTACTTCCAGTGTATGATGTTCTGTAGAGGTATGCAGGAAGGTGTTCTGGATATAGTATCTCTCACACCTCATGAAGTTGAACCCTTATGGGACAAAAATAAATAAATACATGGCTTCTGGTTCTCTTAACTAGTTGGAAGGGTCAAACCAAGAAATTCAATGCCATACAGCAGGCGGTCTGGGAGCTCCAAGCAAGGCACCATTGACTTTTTTTGGTAGTAGTCGCATCAAATCCATTACTAGATATCCTTTCTTACTGTCATTATGGGTCAGACTCAGTCACTTAAAGCCCATCACATTTCTTATCTGAAAGGGGAGCCACACCTACTCATAAAAAAGCCGAAAACGCCAAATAAGACCATGAGACCATGACTGTGAGGGCCTTTCCTCTCTGAGACAGACACCGCCATGCCTGGGACTCTTGCTCTCATGAGACCTCTAGAGAAGAGGCATCTCACAATAAGGTAACAGAGGGGATAAAAGACAGACATGAAGTACTTCATCAGAAAGCCTCAAGACAGCGATTGTGTTGAAGACCCTAGATTTTGAGACCTCTTTTCTTGTAGGTTGGTGGAGCTATGTTGACAGATAGCTTTCGGTGATGACTTTCACATCCCATACAATCTTTACCCATTGGTCTACTATGGTCATCCAGGGTGTGAAGCCATCCCTGAAGACACCTCTAACGAGCTGACCTCAGCTGCTTGCCACTCCTTGCTGCCTAAAACATTGCAGAATGAAGGTAGAGTAGACCCAAGTTCCCTCTTGATCTTTCTGACTTTCTCCGTGAGAATAGGGCTTCAATGCAACAGCAGGATCAACCAGTACTACGACTCTTCGTGACACAGATGGGGCTGCTGTGTGTAATCAGGAAAAACCAATCAGAATCTTCAGTTCACCAAGAGAACATTTTTGCAAGGAAAAGGTATTGCAGCAAAAGAGGCAAAGAAAGTTATGTAGCTAAGAGCAGGATCTGAAGAAACAACAACGAAGTAGGGGATAGTTATCTTAAATCAGACCAGTCTAGAAAGTGGTTCTGGAAAGGCCCAGAAATGGTTGCATTGCTTGCTATCGATTCTTTTCTTTCTTTTTCTATCTCATCTCTTCTTTTACTAAATTTCCTCTACACAGAAATGCCTTTCATTTAATGGTGCCAGCAGACCCTTAGACAACTTTCTATAGAGAATTCTTATTTTGGAGCGCATCATGGAAGGACTGACAATGGCATGATCTGTCAGATGCCCTCGAGTCTCCCTCTGAGGGGATGCGGATGTCTCCAATGCAACTGGAACATTTCCCTCTGAAATACTTCTCTCTGACACTGTGTGCGCTGGACCAGAATGAAAAGATTATGGTAAAACCTCATCTTTCAGAAAATGTGTGAAAGAAGGTTATAATTATTCTTCTCATGTAAAGGATTGTATCTTTCTTCTTGCAGGAAAATGTATGAAGGTTTGGAGGATTTATAGAATGTAACTGGCCATAATCTAAGCCTCCTTTTGGAACTTATCTGGACCAGGGTCTTCGTCTTTGTAGAAACAAAGAGCAAAGAGAGGAACTTCTGAACTCCAGGGGGCGTTGTTTGCTTGAAAGTCATTGAAGTCCAGTGTGAGATACTCACTAGATGGCTAGTAGGGAGTTCATTTTCCTGGGGAAAAAACCCTACTACTTCCACTTACAATAATTCTCTGAACATTCCCTAATGTGTCCAAGGCCAAGGAATGTGAGATCCATAGCTGCTTAGGAGGAGCTGAGAATTAATCCTTCCTCTCTCCTTTGTCCAAACCCAAATGGGTCTATGACTTCTAGGCAGTAACGCTTGAAGCCCGTGACAGCACTAAGCGATTTGTGTGCCACCCGAAGGAAGCACTTCAGAAAGGACGTGCACTTAACTGGAGTCCCTATGACATCAAGGAAGGCATGATACAAAGAGAAATGGTAATGAACTAAATTTGACAGTGGAGGTGTGCTTACTTGTCCAAGTGCATTTCAGTGCTGTGGGATGTGCTGTCAACTTTTAAGTATTGAACAGCATTAAATATTTATATCCATGGCTTGAACACGTGAGTTAAGTGCTCTGAATAAGAACCCATCCTGAAAGACTAAGAGGATAGAGTTTCCTATTTAAAACACTAAGTCTATAGGATCTCCATATATTATTACAGTGTACCAAAATTCCAACTGGAAAAGAGACAAGAGCTACATTTTAAAAACAGTGTTTACAGATTTGATCCTTGATTCTCAGATAAAGTATATCAGCTTTTATTTACGCCTCTGACACTGAATCACACTCCTCAGGGGGAAATGACAGTTGAGATTGAAAGCAGGACACTGATGGGATGGTAGCAATTAAAATCCAAGATTAAAATTTGTCATGTCCGGACTAAGACCCACATTACCCAAACTGAAACAAAAAGAGAAATTTCAAAAGCTTTCCTGACTTTGAAAACCATAAAATCATTTGTGCCCAATCCTTCTATTCTCATAAACTTAACGCTCTACAAGGGTAAAAGAGATTTAGCAATTTGAGAAAACCAGCGAGCGATGTCTTTGGCATTGCTTGTGAGATGAAATGTGGTATGATAATTTATCAAGACCAATCATTATTAAACAAGCGAGCAACAAGGTGAGTTGAGCTGGAAAGAAAAGGGCTGAGTGTATTTTTAGATCACTAACTGTGACTTTATGACCCAAAGCCACATCAACCAGGTGAGAGTTTAAAAAAAAAGTCATCATTTCCAAATGCCTGGCCTGGGAATTGGGGAAATTTATTTTTATAAGTACAATTACCTGGATATGATTTTACCAGTACCAGTGACAGAATAAGATCCAGTTTTAGGAATATTATGGATTTGTTCATCCACTCCAACACAGCTTGCTTGCTCATCCTAAAATGACACTATTGCTAAAGTAACGTCTACCACTATTGACCTACTCTTGAATCTAACTAAATGACTAATTAGTTTAGCATGTCTGGTTATTCAACTGAAATGGTGAGTTAAACCATAATGTTTTCAAAACTAAAGACTGGCTATTGGTCAGGTAAGCTATACCTCTTGCTTCTCTGGTCGAGTCCACGAAGCCTGGAGAGAACAAGATATAAAACACAACAAGAAAGCAGTAAAATTTTACAACATGTTGCTTCAGAGAACTGATGTATCACACTGCATTCCGTGCACATGCGGCTTCTTTTCAATTCAGAACTTTTTCCAAGGCCCACTTTGAACAGTGTTCAATCAGTTCAGGTTGGGATTCAGTGTCTGTTCAAGCTTATTAACCCCTTATGCACATTAAGATGTCTGTTGCAAAGTATAGACTTCTCCCAAATCTGTCAGAGACAGACATAGGGGTCTTAGCAGATGTATTAGTCTGCTTCTGTCCCAAATGGTTGTGAATATTCCTCATGGCTGCACTACATACTTTTTCTAGCCCCACAATCTAGATATAATACACAGAGTAGGTGTCTTCCTTTGGATTTTAATAGGTAGTTTATTGCAGATATACTAATGCCATTTTATGCTCATGCATTTCATGACTTTTTTGCATGCATTCTGTGAGGGGGCTAATAATTTTGTGAAGAATTGACAAGGGGAAAATGGAAGGAACAGATTAAGAAGGTGGAACTTCTTTAGTCTCTGGGTCAGGAGGAGTTGAGGATACAAATGCTGAGTGCTAGGGCTCCTGCCAGCCCTGAAAGGCAGAAGAATGCACGGACAGCAAGCAGGCTCAGTGGGCATCGTCTCCATCAAACACAGCATTCACGAAGGGGGAGCCAATGCAGACGGACAGAGGTTTGGGGCGCTTGCCTATCCACATCTACACTGGTGATTTATCTCACGCTTGGCAATCTGCTTTGCTTAATGTTTTTCTGTTTGCATACTGGGAGTCCAAGACATCACACCTGCATTGTTCTTTTGCATCAGGTGGTCCGACTGCCTAATTATCCCTGATGTTAGACGGAAAAAGGATAGAAAAGATGCAAGAAACACAGCGGTGCAGTTCAGGGAATGTTAATGAGCTGGCAAACATTTATTCAGCGTCCACTAAGTGCAAGGCGCTTTTGTACGAAATGAGGACGAAGATGCTGGGTTAGGTCACATGATGTTGGAATGAAGAAGGAAGTGAGAACAGAGTTACATGCAAAGACCAAAGTAACAGTGGGCCAACATGTCAAATGTGGTGGCCAACTCCACATCACTACGAAGCTTGTCTGTCACATGCCAGGGCTGGATTCATTGAGATCATTTTTTTAAGAGGCTATCAAATCTGATACTCCTTCTCTCTCTCTCCCCCGCCCCCACAATGGTTTTGTCCTGATTCTGAGGTTTTTAGAGTAAATGACTCCTATTATTCATAATGCTTTTTGCATCCTGATCTGCTATGTTGGTGTGTGCTTGGCTCTGACAATTTAATGAAGGTGTGGTCCATTTTAACTAGATTTGTAAATGTACAACATAAAAGAAATTAGAGTATGGTTAGGGATACTCCAAGAGGTTCAAAGTTCTTTAAATGTCAATATGTCTTACCATATTACACACAAGTATGTAGGAACACGTATAAAAATTTGGACTCTGCAGGAGAAGGATGGACAATCTCCTCCTGTGTCATTATCTGCCTCTGAAAAACCACTAGAGGGTCAGCTATGGGTCAGTTCTGACTTGAGGGTACACAACAACATACTTACAGCCTAAACATCCCCAGTTATATATGTTCTCACTCCCTATGGGTAGACCAGACTCTGATTTCTTAACACGATAAAATTTTCCAATGTGTAAAAGTGAATAATGGATTTGTATTGGTTTAAGAACTTTTCCTGGTGAAAAGAATGCTCCTGTTCTTTTTTTTTTTTTAAAAATGAAGAATTTGAAATATTTTTTCTTATTTATAGGCTATCTAATCAACTCAAGTTCAAGGTTCTTTAGTGCTTTTAGTTGTCTATCTCCAGATTCCAACTCCTCATTCCCTCTTTTTCCTTAATCATTAAGATGTTCATGTGCCTTGGTTTACCAGACAATCTCAAAGGTACTGTGATGGTCAAATAAACCCACATTGAGCTTGTTCAGGGATAAGGCACAGAGATCATCAGGAAGGAATCTTCGATACCCAATATGTAAATGCTACTTGAAATTAAAGACCAATCACTCAAACACTTGGGAGATATTTACAATGAATCTGGATAAATAATGAGAATGATACGGACACAAAGACCTTGCTACATATCTCAGTTTCACAGTGACCTCCATATACACGATCAGACTCAGACTTTTGTGAACATAATACTGACCACATCTTAACTGACTGGATCTCAGAAAATGGACCCATCCTAATGATCTCAAGGTTACAAATTATTTGATTTGGTCTAGTTAGTATTGTTTTTGAGCTAAACCAACAAAACTAGCTAAAGTTACTAGAAAGATTGATAATACTGAATCTCAGACAAGTGACTGGACTCCACTCAGAGACATGATCAGAGATAAGGTGTTATGATTAGACTCACTTTGTTGTTGCTTGCCTCTCACTTTTTTTTTAAAACAAAGACAACTACCTGGAATTCCATTATAAAGCCACCAAGAGTGTGTCTCTGGTTGTCTATGTGTGTATATGGTCTTTTCTCCTTTTTCAAAAAAGAAGAATATTATCACACCTTAGCAATGACAACAACAGTATACCTAACTATGCAGTGAAGGGAAAGACAATTTCTTGATTAGCTTATATCGTAACTAACTTTACTAAAGGACTCAATGAGCCTTCCACAAAAACCATCAAATCATCAGTGAACCCAATGGTATTGGATGCTCAACCTTCTGAGTCACTGACCCAGAGGGAATTCCTGGAGCTTCCTCTGTACTTGACCTTGTCCCAGTCAGTAGTTTTATCAGTGACCTGGACAAAGATATTTCAGGTAAGTATTTATGCAAGGTTGGAAGCAACACCTAATACACATGTTGGGTGACAGATGCAATGAGAAAGCTACTTGGTGCCTGTTCTTGAGTTCTTCTTATGCATGAGGTTGGAACTTTATATAAAAAAGTTAAACATAAAGGGTGAAATGTCCTGGACAAGATCTTCTGATGAACCAAGGACAGTTTGGATGAGAGCCAGTCCTGATTTGGTTCAATCATGGGTCGTGGTCACCATCCATTGGCTGTTTGGTCACTGAGGCATTTTTGGAAATCACAGAGATTGGTGGTCTCTAAAGGAAGGCTGCCAGTTGATTGATGCTAATGTATTTGTAATGCACAGGGCCTTTCCACACAAGGAGGATTTATCTAAAACTGCAATAGTGATTCTATTGAGAGACTCTGGGCTGCCAAAAGCAAGATAAAAGTTTAAAGAGAAATAAGGAGAAAATTCTGATTTTTTAAAAAATTATGGTATTGATTGCATAAAAATTGGATAGAAATGTGTGGCTTAAATGCCGTAGCTCATGTGAAAAAAAAAAAAACCAAACAAAAACAAAACCACCCAAAAAAACCAAAAAAAACAAACCACCTAGTGATCTTAGCCAACCATAAGTTCAACAATAAACAGAATGAGGAACCTGCTGAAGATCTAACAGGACTTTCACGACATCACATTGTCCAGATCAAGGGAGGTGATACCCAGCTGATGTATGTGTACTAGTTAGGTCGTGTCTGGATGTCTGAGCCTCATAAAAATCAAGGGGTGTTAACTACTGGGTTGAAGCTGACTAGCAGAAACTAAAGGACTCTAATCATTGCTCTCCAATTTTATAGGAAAGACTAAAGGGTAGAGATGAGAAGCACTGTGAGAGGGAAGGGATAAGACAGCAGATCTTCCTAACCATCACTGTTGGATGGCTGTTCTTTGAGGGGTTAACACAATCACATCAGGCAGAGACTCCAGAAAGGGTGCCAGGTGACAGGAAAGTGCCTCCATGGTGCCTTCCACCTGTTATGATTCCAGCATCTCGTGTGACGCAATTCTCAGGAAATGTCTTTACCATACTGACTAGATAAAATTGTCTACTCTCATCACCATTATTTTAAAAAGAAGACTATTTTCGTCTACTCTTCCAATTTAGCTACTTCAGTCATCTCAGAGCCTAATTATATACATAATGAAATTGTAGATGGCTCAAATACGAGGAGAAGCTGCCAGAGTAAAAGTGAAATTTATTATCTGGAGTCCAATCTACTCATAAAAGGGCCCTATTTGTTTTCTTAACTGTTATAGCTAGTATATCCATGGAGTAAACCTATCCAGGGTGTGAAACAATGATCATGCCTCTTGGATGTCAATATATAATTAATAGAAACAGCAACTTATATAGCTTAAATATGTTAGTAACCTGGTGTCACAACACTGGCTGACTTACAAGTGTTCTTCTAACTCCAATTCATTTATGTTGTGATAATGGGACTTTACAGACAGTTGTTAGTTGAAAAAGCCGTAACACAATCTTTGTGTCTGGGTTTAACAATGAACTAAGATTCAGACAGATGAGCTAAACTGATATTTAAATTATATTTATTTTAAAAATAGATTCTTACTATGCTGGAGACAACTGCTGCTGACCTCTGGTCTAACTGAATTTGGTAAGTACGAGTGTATATTATTGTTGTTAGTTACTGCTGTGTGTCTTCCAAGTCATGTTAACACCACGTGTGCAGAGCCGAACTGCTTCCCTGGGTTTTCAAAGCTGCAGTCTTTTGGAGGCATATTGCCAGCTCTGCATTCCTAGGCATCTCTGGTTAGGTTCAAACCACCAATTTTTTTGGCTGGTAGTGAAGTGTCTAATCATCTGTGCCACCCAGGGACACCTGAGTGCATTGTTAGTGTCCCATGATATGTTTTCCTTCTGTAAAGAAGTGGCAAATTCTTAAAGAGCCTGAGGTAGGTACCCTTCTGGTCTAGCCTAGCTATTGAGCTATTCATAACAATGATACAGAATTTGAAAGTGTCATTCATCTGAGCTAGCTATTATTTCCGTCTTTCACTGTAGGTCAAAGATACACCATACTACTTTGGTTATTCTGGACAAATCTACTCCCAGGAATGAAGTAGAGAGACCTGATGAGCATTGTGCCCTACAATTGAAGCCCTGAAATGTACATTCAATTCACATAGCACACACGACGGGTGTGGGACTGCACTTTTGGCTGAGACTTTAATTTCAATGCAGAGAAAGAAGTTATCCAAGTGAGTACCACATTTCTTAATAAAATTGATTTCCACAATATCAAACAACATATGCGAGTTTCAAAAATAGTTAGCAGTTCTTCTGATGAGTTTTTTGGGTTGAACTGAATTTAACTCTAGAGGTAAGATTGGCACAAATTCTGAAAAGGTTATTTAAAACAAATTCCCATTCCCTTTGATTTTGGTTTTGTTTCTGGGAGTGGGGGCTCAAATGTAAATCCAGATTTGGATCACACTGTGCTTTTTTTGGCTTGATTTATCTTTTCTAGGAATTTCCTTTAGGCATGAGGAAGAGTAGCTACCATTTTTGACATTCTGGTCAATAAGCAATCCATTATAACTGTTCTTTAAAGCTAAAGCCATTACTCTCAAATAGGTGACAAAGCTTTGGCCAACTAAAACAAAGGCCATTACCACAGGATACATGAGATGAGGTTGGAGAAGTTCCATAACAGGGTCTGGTTGGTTTAAAACCCAAGCTTCTTCCTCCTGCTGCTTTTGACCCACTCAATGCAATCTGTATGATGTGGGGTCACCTCACTTTTAACCACTATCAATACTGATGGCTTTCCGGTGGCCTGAAAATCTATGTACGTTAATGTTCAATTGTCCCAACCATTTTAGTGCACCACGAAGGTTGCTGCCGTGTTCTAAACCCTCCATGAAAACACTGCAGAACTTGGGTGTAACAATCATCACTTAAAAACTGCTAATTATTTTTGCCTGAGAACAAATGGTATCTGCATGTGACCAAGAATACAGGCAGACACAAAGGCAACCAAGCTTTTGTGCATATAGTGCAGGTATAGCATGAGTATATAGAATGTAAGAAAAAGAATTAATAGGCTTTTTTTGTTCCCTATTCTTCTCAGAGACATTTCCTTGGTGCTCCTGAGATGATAAGAATGATCATCTGGGACATCAGGGTCTTCTCAGCTCCATAACCCTGGGATTGAAAACCACTCTTCCCTTCCTCCCCAGAACACCTGACTTCACGATGCCCACTATCATCAAGCTTCTGCAAATCTAGGCAAGGAACTGTGCCCGTTTCATTGCAAGGGGGTGCTCAGCAGGCCACGTCTGGACGAGCTGGGGGAAGGAGGCCACAGAAGTAGGCTGTAGCCCCTGGTGACCACATCCCATTTTTCTGGTTCACCAAACATGGCCAGGCATTGAGCAGACCTAACCAGTGTCAAGTCTGCATTCCTTGGCCCTGAAACTTTTGGGCAACATTATACCTTTTCTTCATTGCTGATGTTTCGGGTGGAAGTTCTCCAGGTGATGGAGGGAATGGGGTCTCCTGAGGCTTCACAGGTAAGAGTAACTTGTTCTTCCAGCTCCATGGCGGTCTGGTTCTCTACGTAAGTGATTTTGGGTTTTGCTGAAAAGGGAAAACATTTCTGTGAGTTTATGCCATCCCACTCCCCTTTTTGAGTTTAAATTATCACATGCACCCAAACTCAACACAGGCTATCTAGTTACTAAGTATCCCAAACTGGTTACTACTATGTAATCTCCATCTCATGGAGACTCAACATGTGTATAAATGGGTAACATAGGGCGTTTCAATGGTTTATTTTTAAGGAGTAGATCACTAAGCTGTTCTTTTAAGGAGTCCTGAGTGAACCTGAATTTTTTTTTATAACACTTTATTTTTTTATTTGATTATTATTTTTTATATAATTTTAATGAACATTTAAAGAGATTTTGGATTTCCATTCATTCATTGCTGCACTTCTCTCCCCGCCCAGCCCTACCCCCACTCCAGTTCGCTCCTGTCTTTGAAAAGTAAAATAAACACTCCCTCCCTGGTACACAATCCCCCCCACCCCCTTCCACCACCCCCAGTTCATTCCACTATGCAACCTTAATTGTGGACTCTTGTGATAACCATTTACCCGATCATACATCGCTTTTAAATTATGTGAACTTGAATTTTCAAATGCAAAGCACTCCACCAGCCAAGCAGATTAATCTTTTTCCACCGCCCAGGAACTACACCTATCAAGGGCAAGGCCTGTGCTACAATGGGTTCTTCAGTGCCGCTTTTTAAGTCATTAGCTTTGACTTTCACCACATGGCTGGGTAGGATTACACAAATGTAAGGTGTCCGTGTGACCCATCAAGGGCTGGACGGTCAGTGAATCACGTAAATAGCACTCCTTGTTGGGGAGGGCGTAAGTGTAAATAAGGAGCACAGGCCACTAAGCATGGATAGGTCAGTTTGACCATCCTGCTTGGCTGAAGTTGAGCAGATTCAGTGGGAGAAACTAGGAATCTCACTACCATCTAGAAAGAAGAAGGGAGTGCAACACGTCCTTGGGACAGAGAATCCTGCATTAGAGACCAAAACAAGGCAACTTCGGTACTACAACAGCGGCAGATGTAGGTGGTGGAGAACCAGAAACCAGTGTGAAGCAGAGAAGAGGCAAGATCTGCAGCACGATGGAGCTAGAGCCGAGCGCCATGGCCGAGGCTTACTGATGGAGTGGGGGAGGCGCATAACTGGTAGAACTAAAGCAGCTTAGTAACACTGGCTGAATGCAGGGCAAGGTCCGGAGCCATGAGGCGCAGGAGAAGCCTCCCTTACAGCACACCTGACATGCCCTGACTGAAGCACTGTATCCTCAACTATAACCTGCGGCTCCTCTAATGAACTTCACATGTAGGAGTTATAGTGAACCTGATAGAGCAGTCAGAGCTGTGGGAGAGAAGACTGGAGCTGGAGCTGATAGAAGGAATGGGAATGTGAACACTGACTTTGCGGTGTTGACATTGTTGATGGGGATTCTTCCCCCTTGTGGAGTTAGTGCAGGTCAGATGGTGCTGGCCCCATGCTGGCCACACTGTTTTCACAAAGCTCTATTTCAGATGTCGGAGAAACAGAACTGGACCCCTAGGGAGCTCACAAGGAAGTAGGTATATGACAACACAGAAATGATTCCAATACAAACAATATCCTACATCATCCAAGTGCTAGGTGCCGGAGGCATTCAGCAAACAAAGGGTGCCCCCTTGGCTGAGGACTTCAGGAGGGGGTAACTTTTTGGGTTAGTGGTTAAGTGGAACTGCGCATGGAGGGTAAAGAATCCCAAGAGCAGAAAGAACACTGCTTGAATAAAAAAAAAGCAGCAAAGACATGCAAAGGTAGGGTTGTGAAGCGAGGAGTATAGCACGAACCAACAGCTCATAGAGCAAAGCAGAGGGAAAAGATGCTGCTGTTTGACCAGAGAGCATCTACTGTCTGTTTAAGAGCTGGCTTGTGTCTCTCTTACCCAGTGACTGGTAGAGAGGCCCTGACAAATTTTGACTAGGGGAATGGAATGATCATTTGTTTTTGTATGAAGGTTAATCTGGGGTGGTGGTGGTGGAGAAATCTAAAATGATTTAATATGACAAAAGCCTTGAGGTGGGAAAATCAATTTGGAAACTCAGACAATGACCCAGGTATGATGTAGAACCATCGTGAACAAGGTCACTGCGGCAAGAATTGAAGAAATGGGCAACTTTGAGAGACATGCTGACAGATTCCATAGAAAGTGCCAAAGGAACAGAGGGCAAGTTGGGATGGGAAGACTCAAAGAAGGTATGAGCAGGCGTGTAAATGACTCTAAGGTTCTTAACGACGACTAGGAGAATGGTGTTAGCATTAAGTCAAGGAAGGAAATCAGGCACGGAACTGATTGGGTTGCAGGCTGTGTGGGTGGAGCTGGGGATGGGAAGGAGATGAGTTGAGATGAGTTCATTTTCCAAATGTTTTGGCTAATGCAAGGAAACACATGCTTTCAAAAGCTGAGTTAAGTGTTAAAACATTAGAGAAAATTGAATTTTCCCAATTTAAAACAATTATACTCTGAAACTGCTGAACCTTCCACTGAAGAAAAAAAAAAAAAGAAGAAGATAACACACAAATGTAACCTATTTGACTAATAGAAAGATCAGGTTGGATAAACAAACAGAAAACTAGAATTACAGTTTTTGGAAGAGCTACATTTCTTTCTATTTGAATTCATACAATAACCCCAAGTAGGATCATAAGTGAGGGCCTGAATACGTCTTCCAAGTTGAGTCTATTGATTCTGTCTCAGTAAACAGAAAACCATGAGTAAGTTTCATACGATTTTTCTTTATAGCAGATTCCTGCCTCCTTACGATACCACTTATATAATTCAAATATCCTGTTTTTAAATTTTACACTAGTTTATTTACAAAATTCAGATGCATTGTTTTCAAGAATAAATTATTTAAATTTCCCTCATCACTCCACCCAATAAATTGTACAACCCACGACTAATCCCCACCTCTCCCTGCACATCCTCATACCTCTGCTTCCAACCTCTCCTACTTCTCTTGGATCCTTATACTCATTCCACAATAATGGTATTATACAATATTTATACTTGTGGGATTGAGTTCGCTCAGCATAATGCTCTCCAGTCCCTCCCAAGTTGTTGTTGTTGTTGTTATGTGCCGTCGAGTCGTTTTTGACTCATAGCGACCCTATGCACAACAGCCCTAAACCCTGCTCTATCCTGCGCCAAACGCACTGCCTCTGACACACCCATCCCGATTACCCCAGTCACCGAATCAATCCATCTCATAGAGGGTCTTCCCCTCCTGCGCCGTCCCTCCACCCTCCCAAGCATGATGTCCCTCTCCAAGGACCCGTCCCTCCTTGCAACGTGTCCAAAGTATGTCAGACGAAGTCCCAGAATCCTTGCCTCCGAGGAGCAGCTTGGTTTAATCCTCTCCAAGATGAATCTGTTTGCTTTCCTGGCAGTCCATGGTACATTCAGTACCCTTCTCCAGCACCACAGCTCAAAAGCATCCACTCTCCTTCTGTCCTCCCTAGTCATTGTCCAACTCTCTGATGCATAACAAGCGATTGTAAAGACCATGGCCTGTATCAGGCGCACCTTAGTCTCCAGAGAGACACCGTTGCTCCTTAGTACTTTAGAGAGGTCCCTAACAGCAGACTTTCCCATCGCAATATGCTTTTTGATTTCCTGACTGCTGGTGCCAAGAGTGTTGACTGTGGAGCCGAGCAAACTGAAGCTGTGAACACTCTCAATCTCTTCGCCATCCACCCTAACGCTGCCAATTGGTCCAGTGGTGAGAATCTTTGTCTTCTTGACACTGAACCTCAGTCCATACTGAAGGCTGCAGTCCTTGACCCTTTGCAGCAAGTGCATGAGGTCCTCCTCAGTTTCGGCAAGCAGGGTTGTGTCATCTGCATAATGGAGATTGTTAATAGACCTTCCACCAATCCTGATGCCACAATTCTCCTCATAGAGCCCAGCCCAAGTTAGGTAATAATTTACAAAGTAATTGCTCCTGTGTTCTGCGTAGTATTCCATTGTGTGAATGTACCAAAAATTCTCAATCCATTCATTTGTAGTTTGACATATGGGCTGTTTCCATGTTCTTGCGATGGTGAATAATGCTGCTATGAACATTGGTGCACAAATGTCTGTTTGTGCCTCAGCTGCTAATATGTTCTAAATGCCAACATCCAATTGTTCTGACTCATAGTAACCTTAACTCTGCTTCACAGGGTGGTAAAAGGCTCATTGTTTTGAAAATTGCCAGGCCTTTCTTCCAAAGAACCTCTGATTATACACCAATGTTGGACCATTTTATTAGCAGACAAGAATATTAAATGTTTGCACCATCCAGAGACTCCAAATCTGACCCATGAGCCTGATCTTCTTGCTTTTGCGGGGTGCTGTCAAGTCAGTTATGGCTCATAGCAACCCTGTACACAACAGATGCCTGGTTCTGTGACATTCTCACAGTCTTTGTTATGCTTGAAGCCTCTGTTGTATTCATCTCTCTCATTGAATGCCTTTCTCTTTTTCTCTGACTCGCTCCTTCACCAAGCACTGGGGACTGGTTGCTTCTGATAACATTCCTAAAGCAGCTGGGGCCAAGTTTCATCAGGCACCCTTCTAAGCATTTTCCACATTCTGATGGATCACCTTTCTTTGGAATGAGTAGAAATATGAGACTCTGTTGGTGGGTTGGCCAGATAACTATTTTCAAAATTTCTTGATACACCTGCTTAGCAAATCCTTTTTTGATGGCCAACACATAAACATTAAATGACATATTAAAACTTGGAAAACGTGCTGCAAAAGACTCCTTTTAAGGTACTTAAAATCAAGTAATGAGTTTGTAAACTATGCTGTTGCTGTTGTTGTCATATACTGTTGAATCCGAACTGACGTATAACTGACCCTCCAGCGAGTTTTCAGAGGCAGTTAATCACATGGGAGGAGACTGCCTGTCCTCCTGCCTCAGAGCAGCTGGTGGCCTTGAACCTCGTGCCTTTGAGATTACAGTGCAGCTTTTTGCCACTAGGCCACCACAGCTGGTTTATAG